TCCTTCTTCATTCCTTCTATTCCTCCTTCTTCCTTTCTTCCTCTCTTTCTCCCTCGCTCTGCTCCTCTTCCCATTCCCTTTTCTTCTTCTTGCCTCCCTCCCTCTCTTCCTCCTTCCTTTCTCCTCCCTCCCTCCATCTAAAAATACATCCTTTTGCATGTGGATTAATGGACACTATTTCCCCCGCGGTATCTTGCACTACTCCTATGCAAATCACCAGGGTCTGGTGATGTATGGCGAACACCCTAGTAGACAGCAAGCGAGAAACGACTTGCTCAAGAAGAGATTGGACGATCATTAGTCCTGGGAAGGCATAAGGTATCTTGCGCGGGCAGGGGGTTGGACTGGATGACCTCCAAGGTCCCTTCCAGCTCTGCTATTCCATATTCGAAATTAAACATCTCCACGTTCCCTTCCAGCCCTGTGATTCTGTGTCCTAGGACATTGCATTGCACAGCCCATCCTCATCTTCGAAACCGGGCTACAGCCGTTCTAGCTACAGTCATTCTCAACCACCAGTTTTATCCACTGTCATGTAACAGGCGTAACTTTCCCTACAGGTCTGGCAGTGTGGCGGGAGCATGGAAGTCCTGCCTTGTTCCCGCGTGGCTCACATTGAGCGCACCAAGAAACCTTACAACAACGACATCGACTATTACGCAAAGCGCAACGCCCTGCGCGCGGCTGAAGTATGGATGGACGACTTCAAATCCCATGTGTACATGGCGTGGAACATACCAATGACGGTAAGGGGAGGGTCCGGCCTCTTCCCCACAGGTGGAATGTTCCTGAATTCCGCTGATCAGCCAAGATAATAGACCGGTCACCAACCTTACCGCTCCATCCTCCCTACCCAAATGTGCTGAGATTTAATTAATATTTATTTGTGGTTTTTAACAGCCTCCCTAGACTCAGAAGCTGCTTACTTGGCTAAGGAAGGAAGGAAGGAGGGAGGGAAAGAAGAAGGGAGGGAGGGTTGGAAGGAAGGGGGAAGGGAGGGAGGGAAGGAAGGAAAGTAGGGAGGGAGAGAAGGAGGGAGGGAGAGGGGAGGCAGGGATGGAAGGAAGGGGGAAGGGAAGGAGGGACGGAAGGAAGGGGGGAGGAAGGGAGGAAAGGAAGGAGGGAAAGTAGGGAGGAAAAGAAGGAGGGAGGGAGGAAGGGAAGGAAAGAGGGAAAGGAAGGAGGAAAAGGAGGGAAGGAAGGAGGAAGAAGGGAGGGAGGAAGGAAGGAGGGAGGGAAGAAGGGAAAGGAGGGAGGGAGGATGGGAAGGAAGGAAGGAAAGGATGGGGAATTGGGTAGGTTGATAGAATGGGGCTGTAGACCAAGTCAACAGTTGTGTGAACTGGAGAAGAAGCTGGGTAGAATTTGGTTTTGTCGTTTTGTGTTTCCCAGAACCCTGGAGTTGACTTCGGAGACGTGTCAGAAAGGGTTGCTTTACGGCAGCGTCTGCAGTGCCGGAGTTTTAAGTGGTACTTGGAGAACGTCTATCCTGAAATGAGGGTTTACAACAACACCATCACATACGGAGAGGTAATGTGTGAATCTGTTGTTCAATTTTGTGCTAGGCTGGTCTAGTTTGGCTAGTCAATTAACCAGTGGAACAAAAGTTGCCTTCAGACGTTGTGGGTTCTTCATCACTGGAGGTTTTAAAGAAGAGACTGGACAGTCGCTTGTTTGAGATGGTATAGGTTCTCCTGCTTGATCAGGGGGCTGGACTAGAAGACCTCCAAGGTCCCTTCCAGCTCATTCTATTCTATTCTATCATTCTACTGGGGCCTCTCCATAGCTGAAATGTGCCAGGTTGGAAAAAACGATGTACATGATGGTCCCCATTGAGCAACCAAACTGGGACCAGCAATTTAATCATGGAGCAAGAATGGTCACACACTGAAGCTGCAACGGTGCTTCAACTTGCCTTCACTTTGCACCTGCCAAGGTCATAAAAGCAAGATTTGGTTGCAAAGTCACTCCCAGAGTTCTTGTGGGGAAACTAGGAGGGGGAAGGGACATTAGGTGTTACTTATAGTCACCCAACTGGCTTTCAGGCTTAAGGCAGGACTAGAACTCCCAGTCTCCTGGTGATTGGACCAAAGTCACCCAGCTTTCAGGCCTAAGACAGGACCAGAACTCCCAGTGACTGGTCCAAAGTCACCCAACCGGCTTTCAGGCCAAAGACAGGACTAGAACTC